TCAGCAAAACCTTCACTTTAGACTTCCAGAGGGCTGACTTTGGCCTGTTTAGGATGCTGGTTGGCACAATTCCTTGGGAAATATTACTGAAAGATAAAGGGGTCCAGGAAGGCTGGACACTCTTGAGGTACGAAATCCATTGGGCACAGGAGCAGCCAGTCCCTATCTTCTGAAAATCAGACGATGGGGAAGAGACCATCCTGGCTGAACAGGGACATATTGCTGGAACTCTAGGAAGAATAGAATTCATTATCTGTTGGAGAAGGACTGGTTCGCCATGAAAAGTACAAGGATGTTGTTAGGTTATGCAGAGAGAAAGTTAGAAAGGTGAAGGCACAGGTGGAACTGCCATAAAAGATAACAAGAGTATTTTTTCAGACATATTCGCAATAAAAGGAGGGCCAGGGAGAACCTCCATCCTCTACTGGATACTAGAGGAAACCTAGTGACTGAGGTTACTCAAATAGACTCAATTTGGTAAAATGGGAGGTTGTGTTGACTAACTAATCATTGAACTATCCTTGTGTTGGCTAACTAATCATTGAAATACCCATGTGTACATAGTCTATTTGAAGTGTATTTTAACTAATTTTAAAGCAGAAATTGGAGATTTTCATTAGTTTATCAGTAGTAAGCAGTTATTTTTTTACCAGCTTATAAAATACACTTTCATGTGCTGATAATAATTATATTGTTAACCAATATATATGGCATATAATTTCACCTAATGTATACTCTGAGATTTTAATAAATGTCAAGAATACAAAATTAATTAGAATAAAACAATACTTTGGAAGCTACATTGTTTAAATTTGTGTAATATTTGACTACCATTATTTTTTTACATTTTGATTTTGGTTTGTGGAGAACTAATTTTCTGTCTTTCCTGGAACTAAGGAGCAAGTGAGCAAGAGGTCTTCTAAACAAAATTAAAACTCAGAGGCTTTTTTATGAATGGATAAGCATGTGAAAATAATACGGATTGTGTTATGTCATAGAATTGATTTCATAAGCAGCCTCTGAAATACCATGCTGCCTTGTCATTTGCAGACTTAGCTACTACGGTTCTCCAGAACTGGATGTTTATTTCATAGTAAAAAGGATCTAAAAATACAAGACCTTGTTTATGTTTTGTTGTTGACCATGTATAGGGTATGGGGCATGTAGAGGGTATGGAGTAAAATAGAACCCTTAGGTCTTCAGGCAGGATTTTAAAGAAAATACTAGTAGGAATTAGGTTTGGACTGAGCTGCTGGAAGCTAGTAAACAAACAAATTAGTTTACTTTTCAAGAAATAAGAGCAATGTGTATAACTTGCTTCCCGAGGACTCCTTTAAAAATAATTTAGGAATTAATTTGGGATGTTAGAATCTGAACTATTCAAAGAAAAAAAAATAGTGCCTATTTTATTGCATTTTTATTTTTTTAATAATGATTGGAAATCATATTATCTAAATTATCATTAATGTTGTGCTTGACAACATAGTTTTGAAGTATTTTTAAAACCAGGTTGGAAACAGAATTTGATCTCATCTTCTAGACCTGTGTTGAAAGCAGTGTGCCACCTGACTGTACAGGGAGCATCTAAGAATAAAATTGATTACAGACTTCTGAAATTATTGCTATACAAGAAATATTCCAAAATCTGATAAAATGCAAAGAGGAAATAGCACTAACTTCTAATGTTTCCTCTGAATAGTTTTTCTAACTATACCTGCTTTTTCTTAGCAAAGCTGAGGAAATCTGGTTTCTTTCAAAGCAGATGGAAAGGTCAGAAATAAACCTGCTTCTTGACCAGATGCCAGAAATTTACACTCAGGTATCCATGTTGTACTTACTCCGACAAATTTGCATGGATCATAATTTTCAGCAGATTGTCTCTTCTCAAAAAATATTGGCACTCTGTGTTTTCAAGGAAAATATAATAAAGAGAAATGTTCTGTATGATAGATAAATGATAAATTCTTCTGTTCTGTCCTGCTCTACCTATCACTTTGACAGACTCATCCAAGTTGGCAAAAAGGGCCCAGGAGTGTCATGGCTTTTTGAATGGCTCATCCCGGTGAATATATTTCCCCACTGATTTTCACATCTGCTTCTGAGGACATTCAGTATCATAACCACTTCGAAGAGAGTGTATTGAGAAGTTTCCAGAAACAGTTGTTTTTTAATCTGGTTCCCCTGAAATGTCTTTGAAATGGTCATAAATTCCAGGACAGTTGCTACACAAATACAGTTACTAGCATAAAACTTGTCATGTGGTCCTGTAATAGAAATCAAGTGCTATTTCTGTGCTGATGTCTAATTTAAGAAGTAATTATACTTTTAATTCAGGCTTCTGTATTTTTCTCTGTCAACATGAGCAGTAAGATACTTCCTATTAGAGAAAGAAGGGAAAAAAGCTTTGGATCCCTGATTAGTGAAGACAGTATCAGAAGACTAATGCACCTCCTCCCCCTTTCTGGAGTTGTGGACACTAGCTGAGTTGGTATCCGCCCAGTGCTGTGCTGCTTATCTCAGTGGAAGGGCTTTCATAGATACATGTGCTCTAAGAGATCAAACTTCAAGAAACAAACTTCACGGAGTAACTCAACAAATCCATTATAGAGCATGGAAATTGGCCTTTATTACTTAGAGGAATATTGAAAGAGTTGGCTTAGATTAATTGAAAAGTGGTATGTAGGAAATGTCACTCAGTTGCTTAGTCCTCTGTAGATACAGCGGGACAATAACCAGGGAACACAGTGGCCTGTTTTCTTAATTTGTATTCTCAGAAGTCTTTAGTTTCAAGTCTATTCCCTCCACTTTCCCTGAGAGAATTAATAGGGGACAGCCTTGTAACCAATCTATAAATCAGAGGAGTAAACGTTAAATCAGGCCTTCTCCACTACAAAACCTGGAAGATACAGAATCATAGAATAAACTAGGTTGGAAAAGACCTTTAAGGTCATCAAGTCCAACCATTACCCCAGGACTGCCCAAACCAACACTAAACCATATCATTAAGGGCCTCATCTACATATGTGTTGAACAACTTCAGGGACAGTGATTCCACCACTTCCCTGGGCAGCCTGTTCTAATACTTGATCACCCTACTGATAAATAATTTTTTCCTAATAGCCAGTCTAAAAGCATATGAAGCACTGTGTTTATGCTGATAAAGTAAATGATTTTATCTCTTTATGCAGATGTTCCTAGGATTATCTGCCTGTTAAAGATATTAGAAATCTCTGTGCAGCAGTGGTTAAATTGAATCAGCTAGAATAATACTCAGTATAAATTGCATCAATAAAATAAAGCCACTGGCAAGGTTGTTAAAGAAGGTCTGTCATTGTGAGGGCTTTATGAAAATTTATTAATTCAGTTTTAGTCTGAAAGGGATTATGTAACAGAACATTAATCCAAGGCAATCAGGATGGATGTATTCTCTTGCAGCTAGAGCCAAGGTGGTTTCCTTCCTGCTTCCTACTTAATGAATAGCAAGAGAAATCAAGACAGAAATAATTTCTGAACTCACAGTGTGCCTGACTGCAGTTCATTTTCTAGAATCATGACACTTTTTATTTTTTCTCCTGAATGCAGCATTTCTGCCACAGACTCATCCATTTTTCTGTCTTGTAGAATATGGCATTAGTGGATTAGACAGTGAGTGGTAATGGATTTATTGCCAGAAATAGCTGACAATTACGTAGATCTCAAATTTTCTACTTTGCTTAGGGATATTTGGCAAAAGCATGCATACATATTTGGTTTGTATTTCTGAAAGGATAAAATGAACTAACTGATTTGTGGGTTTTTTTAAGTCTCAAATCTTCCGTCAGATCCCTCTTCTAAAAAGCATATAGAGAGTGACACACCCTATGACCACAGAAGTCACAGAGCTTTTGTCTGAACTTTCCTTTTAATTACATATTTTTAAAATGAAGGTCTTTCTCGGTGCTTACTAATCCTGACCCTTTGTTACAAAGGGTTTATTCTTCTTGCCATATGAATAGTTTATACTTTTAAGTCTCAATGATATATAAAGCCCACAAATGAACCTCTGGAAAGGGAATGAAGCTGTTGTTGTATCAGTATGTAGCAATAGAGGACAGGAAGAAAAGAAAACTGTACCAAATACAGAGCAGATCATTTGATAAGCAACATAAAACTACTTCTGCTCAGTTATGACAGCAGGATACAAAAACCTGCTTAAGATTTCTCACAACTGTTTACATAAAGGAGTTCAGTTGGGAAGGTACTGGGGTGTAACATCCATCAAAAGAAGAGCAGAGCTGTAGTAGAGCTCTGAAGGACTGGGGAAACGCAAAACCAGAGCGCTGTTCAAGTCCTTGGTGTGTGCCTGCAGAACCAATGTACCACATGTGTTCATCTGACTTCACTCTGAAGCTATCATCAAAGGATTGTTTTCATTTTATATTCAGAAGGGTTTTAAATATGACTAACAGCATTTTGTAATGAAATTGTAGAGAATTAAATGTCACACTAAAATGTTATAATTATCTTTTCAAAATAATGAAGAAATTAAGCAAATTAAATTGTGAGGCTAGATCCTGAATCCTGTCAAAAAAATACTGGGGCCTCTTGAAGGAGCAATACAGAAAAGTAAATGCTAACTTTGAACTTTCTCTTCTTGATCAAGACTACAGGTGAGTTTTTTGCTGCGTAGCAATGTTGACTACTGCTATCCAGATGATACCAGACTGAAATTCTCCCCTGAGAACTGAAACCTACCTAGAGGTCTATCAGGTTTTGACATGGATGGCCTCCATTGCTATTGCACAGCTACTGAAATCATGTGGTGTGTGAATTGCAGCATTTTCCTTATGGTTGATGGGAGCTGCTTGTTCTTTTGTGTTGATGGTGTAAAATGGCCACAACTGACCGAAAGATCTTACCCCAAATAGCAATCCCATACAGTCCAATAGCAGAGAGTTCCTTTTACACAGCATGTTGTGGCCTAATACTTTTTTCATTGCACTTCTGTTTTTTTCTCACAGAGTATGCTGTGCCATCTCCTTTCTTCTTCCAAGTGGGAAAGTAATGAAGCTGCAACCAGTACATTCCTATCAACTCTCGGCTACACGTCAGCAGATTATTATTGTCACTTAGTTAAAAATGTAAGTATTTTGTGCAATTGAGATTTTGTTAATAATAAATCACCAGTTTATAAGCACATACACGGAGCTGTCATTGTGATAAGGAACATGGTCTGAATTTTGTTTATCTTTTCTTACCTCAGTTACTTTTGCAGCCTTTTAAGGGAAAAAATGAAGTGGGAGATCTCTAGACAAATGAGAAAAATTTTATTAGATTATGCTGTAATAGAGGTTCATAAAAACAAAACTCCTGTTGCTGTTGTGTTATAACAAAAAAAAATAATCTGCCCTATCAATGTTTTTCCCTGTGAAGTTTAAATTACGTATATTGTGTATTAGAATGTAACTTTTTGAATGCTTTTTTTGACTATGTAAACTGCATTTAAAATGGTATATGAGCCCTACATCTTGGGAGAAGTGTCTTTTACATTTAGTATGTAAAAATAATGGGGATAATATTTCATAATATGTCGACTTAAATTACATAAAACATATACAGATTGTTAGTAATGCTTCTCTGAAATTTTGCCTTAACTCCTGGGGAAGCAGACCTAAAGCAAATAGCTTCTTACTTTTCAGATGTGGAAGGCATGTAATGTGTGCTAATAAACGTTTTGCAGCATAGTTTATTCAGTGATCTGGACAGCTTTATTTGGCATCAATAATAAAAAAAAACCCAATTAAAAATAAACCTGAAGTGAATAGAGAAAATTATTAACCTCTACAGTAAGTCAGTCACACAGAGAACCATGGAACTAATGTCTGCTTATTTGAAGTATGTATAATTTATTTTATTTTATTTAACAGATGGTCTTTTCATTAGTAACAGAACTCAGAGGAAATCAGTTCAGTGGACTTAACATTCAGGGGAGGTAGGTGTTACCTAAACACCATTTTGATATGTTTTAGTTTTGATCATTATGGTTCAGTGAGGCCCATGCTTGGGCAACTTAGGCTTTGGATGGAAAGATTTTGATATACATGTAGATAATTTCAGGTGTCGACAAGCTTGTTAAGATGTGCTTCACGTGAGAGTTTATAGAATGGTCTGAGTGACTTAGAATGGTTTGGTTTAGAAGGGACCTTCAGAGATCATCTACCCTAACTCCTCTGCTGCAGGCAGCAACATCTTTCACTAGATCAGGTTACCCTGTCCGGCCTGGCCTTGAACGCTGCCAGGGACAGAGCATTTACCACTTCTTTGGGCAACCCGTTCCAGTGCCTTGCCATCCAAACAGTAAAGAACTTCTTCCTTATATCTGACTTGAATCATCCCTGTTTCTGTGCAAATTGATTGCACACAGTGGAATGCACTGTGCAGTATTCTCCAAGAACATATTTTGAAGATTATGTAGAAGAAGAAGAAAATTGCCTTTGCAGGCTTTTTCTTCTGAGTAAGGGAAGCTGCTTAAGTTTGCTAAACCTGGATAAGGAAATAAAATATTGTAAAGGGGACTGATTTAAAGTCTCAGGTCTGTGAACTTTACATGTATATCCTTGGGAAAAAAAACCAAACTACTGCACTTTCAATACCAGCCTAATAATTACTATTTGTACCGAAACACTCCTGATAGTAAAACTGCATCTCGAGGTGTTTTAGTGTAAGAAACCTAAAACACATATTTGGTTATGTGCTCACTGAGAAATTTGAGTCTTTGAAAATGTGTCATGTTTTATTTCTCTCACTGTGGAAACCACAATGGTACCCCGTGTCCACAGGTCAAAGCACATCTATCAGCATATGCCAATGATCATTAGGCAACATCTATTTGGGAGTAGGTTTAATATATGTAGAGCCATAGAGTTACCTCTTATTCACAGCAGCCTGTAGTGTAATATCTGCCTCAAAAATGCATTCAGAAAAATCTGCAGTTTCATGTGCTGGAAAATACATATGCTCTGGGAAACTTGTGATTTCCTTTTGCAGATGTTACCTTTTGCATTGTGTGCTATTTTCCTTTTTATGTTCCAAAGGTTCCATGTTTTGTTTATGTTCCAGGTTCTACTGTCTTTAATCCTTTCCAAGCATGTAGTTTTAGCGTTGAGGTCAACTGAGTGGTTCATATATGAACAAGTCTTAACATTCCTTCAACTGGAGACCTGTAAGACAAAAACTTTTCAGCTGAGCGCTTGAAGACAGCAGCAGTCATACTGTTTGGTTCATAGAAGTTGTCTCTGTTGAGAGGATAAAGGTGAAGGGAACAAAAGGAGGCCTTAAAAGCAGCTAGGTGGTCTTTTGTGAGTGTCTAGCAAACCAACATGGGAGCTGTGAATCTATAGTCTTAATCTGTGCTTTGCTGATCATGAAAAGGCAAGTATGCCCTCCTAGGAAGGGTGTTATTACTGAGTGAATGCAATTGGCTGCACTTCAGAATTGGGGTGATATTCCTCATTTGGTTTGCCTTGAGCACTAGAATTTTATCTGATCTCTTGAGATTTTTCAGGCAATATGTAATGACACGTCAACAGTCATTCTAATAAGTATTTTTTTCTGCAATTAAGATACTCATCTCTTATATTTACCTTCTGTAAAGAATTTAATCTTCTTTTACCTTATAATATTTTAGAAATTGAAGTTCTGGGTGAACTGTATTTATTTTTCCCTCAGAGTTTCAGCCAGTCGTGTGAATGCTGTGTCCCTTTTCTGCCTCCCTCTTATTACTTTGCCTGATCTAACTCCACTGCTGGAAACTCTCCTTCTTTACCATGGAGGTGCATCAAAAGAAATTCTCAGTTCAGAGTTTCTGGAGGCTGTGAATGAGGCCTTTTTAAAGTAAGTAAGTAGCATGGTCTGTATGCTTTTTGTGCTCTTTTTCTAAGCATTATTAATTCAATTAAATGTCTTTTCTCTGTGTTTGTATGTTGGATGCACTGTACATCTTCCACAGTCAAATAGCAGAGCTCAGTTTGTTTGCCAAAGCAGAATTTTATGTTGCTGATGTGAAAATTGTGGAATAACAGCTTCAAATATTGACTGGAACTTCGTCCCACCTTTTCTGTAAAATGGAGGTTAAAGTCTTCAATTAATTTTAAGAATTTTGTAAAAGACCTGATTGCTTTTCATAAAAGTGTGATTTACCTTTCACATAAGTCTATCAACATTCCTAACTTGGTATTTTGAGAGCCACCTTTATTTTTCTGGGCACAAGATACATCTGTATGTTTGAGTGCTTCTATATTTCTGGGTTTTTTTTCCTGTGAAATTTGTTTTCAAGATTTTAAACTTTCCTGGTTTTCAGCAGATAATTTTTAATGAGTCTGAGAGGAGCAGTTTTTTAAATACAACTTTGCTTATTTTATTCTCACTAAACCCACTGTTTTGATAAAAGTCTGTTGATGACAACCAGCTGAGTGAAGCTGCATCAGCAAATTATCTATGCCAGGGAAGGAAAGACAGCGAAAGCACAGCCTACTTCTGGTTGAGAGTTGGTTTATTCAGATTATAGCTGAGGGCCTGTATTATACAGATTTATTTATTTTTTTAATATTAGAGAAGGTACTGTGTGAGCACTTCAATTATTCATTTGTCTCCATTTTAACCAAAGTTTTAATTTCTTTCTCTGTACTCAATATTGTAATTTCTGAGATGTTCCAATGAAAATTGTTATATTGCTCCACTAAAGAATCCAGCAAAAATCAATAATTAGTGGAAAAGCACAATTATTAATTTGTAAATGTTACTAGAAGTTGAGGAATATATGTAGAAAAGGAATGTGAAGATCTGTAGTGAAAAACATGTCCCAGAAAAGAGAGAGCTATCTTTCACTTTTCCACCTTTTGTGGCTTCAAACTGGACATGTTGCCTTAAGACTGGGCGTGTTGCACAAGCAATAACACAGTCTGGAAAACTTTCAGGGCAAGTTTATAGGTTCAGCACAGGTGATCTATACAGATGTCAGTAAGCTGATGGGCAGTCCATCACGACATACTTTTGCCGCTTCATGATGAGAGTCTGAATCATAGAATCATAGAATAGTTAGGGTTGGAAAGGACCTTAAGATCATCGAGTTCCAACCCCCCTGCCATGGGCAGGGACACCTTGCTCTAAACCATATCACCCAAGGCCTCGTCCAACCTGGCCTTGAACACTGCCAGGGATGAAGCATTCACAACCTCCCTGGACAACCCATTCCAGTGCCTCACCACCCTAACAGGAAAGAATTTCCTCCTTATATCCAATCTAAACTTCCCCTGTTTTAAGTTTTAACCCATTACCCCTTGTCCTGTTACTACATTCCCTAATGAAGAGTCCATCCCCAGCATCCTTATAGGCCCCCTTCAGATACTGGAAGGGTGCTATGCGGTCTCCATGCAGCCTTCTCTTCTCCAGGCTGAACAGCCCCAACTTTCTCAGCCTGTCTTCATATGGGAGGTGCTCCAGTCCCCTGATCATCCTTGTGGCTCTCCTCTGGACTTGTTCCAACAGATCCATGTCCTTTTTATGTTGAGGACACCAGAACTGCACACAGTACTCCAAGTGAGGTCTCATGAGAGCAGAATAAAGGGGCAGGATCACCTCCTTCGACCTGCTGGTGATGCTCCTTTTGATGCAGCCCAGGATAGTGTTGGCTTTCCAGTCTGCAAGCGCACACTGCTGGCTCATCCTTTAGGTGGTCATAAAATGTTGTTCTGACTGAAATGATCATCCCTTTTTTTAACTTCAGGGCTATTTGTTTATCACAACGAGCCCGCATTATTCACGTGGCTCTTGACTAAGTGATACCCTAAGGGCCCTTGACAGAAATGTATGGTTTCTGTGAGAGCCAATATAGGCTTACACATGCTTTGTGTTCTATACTCCTGGCCCATCTCTGAAGCTTATGTGATCTTACTGTGAATGTGCTTGGTTGTTGGATTTTTTTTTTTTGTTCTCTACTTTAACAGCTGAATTCTGTGTTCCCTACCTCTCTCATTGTGTTCTGAATACCTGTTTTCCTTCTGAACATGGGTGAATTCTGCTCCAGGAACTAGGGATATTAGATACTGGGACTTGCAGTGCTCCACAGAACTGAGCATTGTTCCAGTGGGACCATCTGCAAGGGCAGTCACAGAAGGCTGTGAGGGCTGATATTTAAATAAATGTGTGGCAAAATACAGACCTTGAAAATGGATCCCAAAATGGTGTTAAATCTTATCAGAAGCTTTAGTTTGCATGTACTCTCTAGCTTAATTTTAATTTTTTTTTTAATCTTAACTTGATTTAAGACCAAGGCACATATTTCTTGTTGTTTATTGTTTTGTTTGTTTGTTTTTAACATTTTAATTTTCAAGTATCGTGATAGCTACAAAACATTTTCCAGGATGTTTTTTGCTGTGATATCTTTTCTTGTTGGGTGGTTCTTTAGTGTATTTTGACTTGTGCTGATCCACACAAGTTACAGTGTTGACTCAAAATAAATTCTGCCTTCTGTTTCCTAGATATACAACACTGTACTTCAGCTGAGCTATAACTGAAGGCTTCAGGTGAAGCAACAACTACCTTCTTAACCATTTATCTTCTAAACACTCTGGTCAGTGTTGGCGGGCTGAAAACTTAGCTGCCTCTACCTCACTTGTTTTTTTACTTTTTTGTCTGCAAAGACAGATAATGCTTTGATTTGGACAGCAATCATACTATCCAGGGTCTTCCTGCTTATCTGTCAGGGGCTGGCACTTTCTGAGCAGGCTGGTCTACAGGAAGCAGTCTGGGTTTGGAAGAGCACAGTCTGGGTTTGGAAGAGCACAGGTGTGGAGCAGGACCTTTCTCTAGAGAGGAAGGGACCTTCAGACTTAAACCTCCTGTTTCCATTTGCTGGCATCCATCATAATCAATTTTTTTTTTGTTTTACAGACATGTGGTAAGGTTTCATTTGCAGATGTTGGTGGTCCCCTGTCATTATTTGCTATTATATACTGAACAGAGTAGTGTAAACAGGATTTTCTCTCTCTTGCTGCAAGTTGATCTTTGTGTCTTCTTTTTCTCCAGTGTGCTTTGAAAAAAACCCAACAAAAACATACTTTTCATCTTCCTTTCAGTTTCTCAGAGAAAACAGTATTTTTCTCTCTAAACCAGGAAGAAGATCTCCCTCCCTGAAACTGCTGTCTTCAGCCTGTGGCTTCGTCACTTACCAAGCCTTGAAAAAGCCACATTATATCTTTTAGACCAGCTGGTTTCCATACAGTTGAATTCACTGGAGGAAGTGGCTTGTGTCATAAAAGACTCGTTACTGGTATGTGCAACATGTAGTATATTTGATACTGCTCTGTCATGCTTCAGAAGTGACAGAGAGTTTCAAATTTGTCAGGATATTTGAGGGAAATAGCTGTCATTTTGCGTATAGCTTGCTAATATTTAGTTTTACACTGAATTGGTGGAAAAGTATTTTATCCAGTGATGAAGAATGGATGAAAAGAATCTAACTGGTGGGGGTAGGCACTCAGCAACTGCCTCTGTCCTAAAAAATGCTAAACTTCGGCCAGGGAGGATTTAAAAATGTTGTTTCTTCAATCTTCATGCCTATGGGAGTTTAGCAATTTAAACAGTTGAAATTCCTTGTATATTATTTTATTATAGACTACTTAGTTATTTGATTTTGTTTGCAGCTATGATCAAAATTCTTAGTACAGAATGTTTGTTAACTGTAATTTGCTTTCAAATGCAGTTTATGCAGTGTGCTAAGTATCTTTCCTATGAGAAAGCATGACACAATACCTTTTCTAAAATAATGAGCTAATTCGCAACAGAAAATTTGTTAATTACAGTGTGAAATAGCATGTGTGCTATGCACTTAGATTATGTATTTCATAAAATAGAACTAAAAAATGGCATACAGTGTGTATCTTCAGCCTATGAAACTGCTTGCAGAGTATGTACTGTAGATAGGAAAAGAATTATGCCTTTAAATATTCTTAATTTTTAAATGGAATCCGCAAATTTCCATTTTAGGAATCCATTACTATACTTGCAAAGCTCATAAATGCTTGGCATCAACAGCACTTTGTATGTCACCTGGGGATTTAGGTATTCTAGAAGATAGAGCTATATACAAGGCCTCACTTTTTGTGTGTCAGATACACTGTGAGTTGAATACAGCATATGGTATCACACATGGCTATAGAAATAAAAAAGAAAAATCTTGGTTATACATAAAAAAGTAAAATCTTTAATTATTGATTTATTGTTGTTTATTAACAATGTTCACATGTGCCTTGTATTCGCATCCTGGTCCCTGAAAAGAATAGACCATTACTGTGCTGCCACACTTAGGTTGTCCTTACTTGCCTCTGCTCCAGAGTCTGCTTTCAAAATATGGTATCAACAGAGCTCAAAGACCAGTGCAGCAACTTTGAATGCTGGTTTAGAGAGGACATCCTGTGGACAAGGAGTGGAATGAATGGAGGCATAAAGAACAGAGCAGCTGGAAGATGGATATTGCTGGTTGATAGGCATTGATAAGAGTGAGGATGCATACATGGGAGATTGCATACCAATTAAAAACAAAAGGATTAGAAGCTTCAGAGGGGCAGTATAGAAGAAAAAGGTTTGATCCAGAAATTGTGTTCTCAAATATTTAATACCTTGTGCAGCTTGTACATGGTACTATAAGGATACTTGTATGACATTAGGTCAGTCAGCACTTTGAAACCAAGAGTATGATTAATTTAGCCCGCTAGAAAGATATTTTAATATTTATTTAGGAATGTGGGTGTGCATTTTTGGCAGTTGGATTATTTGTAGGATTTGACTTCTGTTTGCCATATGGATATGGCAATAAAAAGACAAAATTTTTTTATTTGGAGGAAAACCTCTAGAGCACAAATAGGCACAAATATGTTAGTGATTTGATTATAGTATATAATAACAAAACTACAATAAGCTCTTTCAAAATTTCATTAGCAGAGTAATTTAGCTAAATAAAATATCTTGATACAGTAACCAAACTGTATGTAAACCTCATAGAGGTCTGTGGTACCCAGGTAGTTGTAAACCACCACACTTCCATTGTGCAAGAAACTTGATATGCACTGCTCTTACATTTTAAATCCGAGAGTAATTGTAGTGTGATGATCCACTAACTTGTGTTTTATATGGTATGCTGTTTGGCTTGTGGATTTGGACCTAAACTGGAATTAATATTGGAAATTCTATAGTTACTCAGAAGTAATAAAAACAAGTGAAATGGCTATCACAAATAGTTTTTTAGCTTCTTGGAATTTGGTGGATGAGTGGATGCCTTTTCTGAAGTAACTTCAAGGTTCGTGTGTGTGTGTGTGTGTGTGTGTGTTAATCAGCTAAAATTTGAATAAATACACATATTCTAATTATATGCTTTACCAAAAATGCATATGTATATAAACACATTTTTAAAGCACATATATGTAAAAAGAGAGGTGAATGGATCAATATCAATTATAGTTTTTGTTCAGTACTTAGATAGCTTTCCAAAGTGGTTTTATTTATTTCAAAGTTATGGTGCAAGAAAAGTGCAATAGGGTGATAGGGACTAAAATTGTCCAGCTTCTCCTTATAAACCATCTGTTATTGCTGTATTATGTTTTTCCCCATTACCAGCATTCCCAAGTCCAGCCCAGCACTAAAATCATGTTACACTCTGCAGTTAAAGCTCTCTCTGTGGGGTCTCCCTTGCTGTTATTTTTCTTCAGCATTATAGAGTGAATACAGTTTTAGTGGGTGATATGGTGACTCCTGTGTTGCCTGGCAGGATACCACATTGGAGACTGCTCTGGTTCCCATGCCCTTGCACTGACCTCATGTTGTGCTTTATCCCCAAATTTTGAATATAGCTGGTTCCAAGCTCACCTTTTGTTGGGAACTGTGCCGATGAAACAGGCATTAACGAGGGATAAGGGAAGAAGGACAGAGAGAGAAAAGGAGAAGCTTTTTTCTTATAATACATTTGGGCTAGGTTACAATTAGTTCCCACAGTATTACCTGTCTTCAAATTCTGTGTTATGGTAAAATTTTTGAAACGGTGCAAGCTAATTTGTTCATCATGTTGGTGAATTCAGGAGCTTTTTAAATCTGTGAAGAGACGTTTGTGGTTCAAAGTCAGTGCATGCTTCAAAATAAAAATACATTTGGCACTTCGTATGAGAAAACAATTAAGTGCACGTGAGTCCATAAGTCAAGAGAACTGGTGTTTGTGGTGTACTACCTTAAATCTGTTGTTGTGTGATCCTGAGCACAGGATCTTACGTTTAATCTTTACTTTTGGTTGTTTTAGAGAGCATTCTATGATGTGAACAAAATGCAGTATATGATTATTAGTCTATTCTTCTTTGTGCCATTTACTTGTTCTTGTAGACACAACTGTATTTTTATTATTTCTTCATCCAGTTCTGGCTTTGTATTATAAATTACTGGTTTGTGATTCTTTTTTCTGATAATATAAATGTAAGAGTAGTGAGGTTCTATAGAACTTGTGTTTGTGGTAGTTTATGTTAGAGTATATTGCCCTGGTTTCAGCTGTTTTATTTCTTTCAGAAATCCCATTGTTTTTGGTTTCTTTTTTCCTCAAGGGGCATACAGTCTTGAAATACGCAATCATAATATCACACATGTAGTTTGAATCTTTTTGTCTTAGTGCATGTTTTGCATGTTTAATGCATGTATGGTGCAAGTTTTAAAAATGACAAGCTCTTAGAAGATGTTTGGTTTTCTGAGCTTCCTGTGAAAAATATTGCATAGTCACAGACAAGATTATTGAAATATAAAATGCCTTTTATTTTGAAAAAATAAGGAGGTAATGTCAGCAATTGAAAACGCTATGAGAATCCCTCCTGAAACTGATAGTCCCACACAAACTCCAGAACTGCAGTTGAATGCAGCAGAATTGTGCGGCCTGCTCAAGTCCTGCTACACAACAGGAACATCTTCAGAGGGCTTTGGAGACTGTTGCACTATGATACCGTTCTTACTTCTAGTGCTTACAAATTAATTCCATGCAGTCTATTCATCAAAGCTTCATGGGATTAGGTAACAGTGGAGTTTTTTGGGGGGTGGGTTTGTTTGGTTGATTGGTTTTTATTTTCCCCTTTGAATACCAGTGATGAAATTCATACTGATTTCAGTAGTGTAGATTAAATACTAGGAGATATTAACTGTGGTTTCTTGTAGTGAGTACTGCAGTGATTTTCCTTCTGTCTGGCAGGAAAGGGTGGAGAGATACTCATTGTTGCATACAGTACATTTATTTTGGTCTTGTTCAGAAGATTTTATCTTGATATGTATGGCACTGTGCAGATGGACCCTGTCTAGTTTATGTTCAGTATATCTTAACAACCGTGTGTTGGTACCTCATCACAAAAGTATATGTACGGAAGTAGGTGGGGTGTCTCAGAACTGCAGAATGGCTGGGGTTCAATATACCTCTGGAGATTGTCTAGCCCAAGTTCTCTTTTTTTTTTTTTAACTAAAAAAAAAAGAAAAAAAGAAAAAAAAAGATGAACTTGTCTCTCTTCTGTCTCATCCAGACATTTTTTCCCCGTTCTAGCAGTGGAAGTTTGGGGAGCAGCCTTGCAAAAAAAGCCGCATGCTGTTCTCCACACGTCAAAAAAACCCTGCTGTAAATGCTCTCGAGCACTAGATGGCACACGTTCAACAGGACAACTTAGCTGCAGCCATGTGACAATCGTGGTAAAACCTGAAAATGAGGTGCCATCTAATGTTTGCAGTATAGCAAAGACAACTGTGAGAAACAAGGAGTTTTTCAGAAAAGTTTGTATTTAATATTGTCTCTTATTTTCTGATTATCATATAGGACCATATAGAGTAAATTCATCATTCTGCCTGTGTGCAGAAAAAAAAAAAATCTACTAGTGCTTTTTAGCTTGAAACAAACTCATAAAAGTTTGGGTTTTTTTCAGTAGTGTGTCAGGTACATAAGGCTGTTAAAATAAATTACATTTATAAATGCTATTCCTTCCATGCATGATGAAGTTTATAGAATGCATTTTGTTAAATGTGCCTTACTCTGGATTGTTCAAGAGCTATATTTTTATCAAGTCTTCAGGTGTTAACTTGAGAAGCACATAGTGTGGAATTGTATTTTAACTTAGGAAAAATATACTTTGGGGAATGTGTAAGTAGTTATTATGCTTGGCACTCTATAGAAGCCTAATACATCTTAGAATTTAGGAATATGGGATTAAAAAGTGGTATGCGTACTAGTGCATGCTTAATCTAATAATTTAAAGCAGTCTTTTGTGTGGTAGTGTGATAAAAAGCCTCAGTTGTTTAGGAAAAAAAAAAACATTTTGATGTGCTGAGATATTTAGCTTGCACTAGCAACTCTGAAATTCACAGAAGATAACACTGAAAAAACGTCTTCAACCAAAATGTGTGTGATAGTATTAAAGACAAAGGTCATAAAAAAAATTATTTTCTGGAATTTAATTTTGAAGATGTAGCAAGAGTCTCAAAGCACATCCAAAAGGGATTGTCTGTGGAGAAAAAGAAAAGCTTTTTGTAAATCTGCTCCCTGTCTCTTCCCTCTTGCAATTGCATGCAACAGCCTGTTCTGTCACCTTTAGTATTGTGAGCGATTGTTGTCCTAAACAGCTTGATATCCCAGGTGTTTGCATTTACCAGCTGTTTGACCTACCTGCTATCACTGTGGATCTCCTTCCATGACATAGTTATTTTGAAGAACCTAATCCTAAGAAAATCTGAGGGTTTAGTAAGAGTTAATCTGAGAATTAGAGTTTAATAATTGCATTGTAATAGTATCCATGAGTTAAATAATACAGTGTAAATAATAACATGTAAATAATACAGTGGCAGTTGTTTGAGTTGTTTCTTACTAATGACTAAACTTCTTTTATTTGTTTACCAACAGCCACAAGCAGCAGCAAACCATCCTGCCGTTTTCAGAATTGTTAATGAAATTTTCAAGTAAGTGTTGAAGTTATAGTGGAGATTGTTTCAAACGATCAGTTTAAACAATGAGGTTTTCTTCATTACAAGGAATATTATAACCTGGGATGTAATATAATTTCAGGCTGTCTTTTTCTTTATCTGCATGCCTTAATGTCGCCTTCCATGTAGTATACTGCAAATATTGAAAAATGTGAAAACTCTTGTGAACTTTACATAAAAGTTGTAATAAGCATTGATAGTATTTTAGCCTTTAAAGTTTAAAATTTATTTTGTACTTCAGTAGATATTTCTGGTTGAAATATGATATTAAGGTGAAATTTGTAAATGCTGAAATGGTTTGGCCCATGCCAGCATGAAGATCACTACTTTTGCTGCAAGATCACTACTGGTGCTGCCAGGAAAAAGCGGTGGGTCATCAGTAGTAGGGGATTCTACTTTGAAAGGAACAGAAGCACCCATCTGTCAGCCTGACCCAGTCTCAAGGGGCGTGTGTTGCCTGCCAGGGGCACGGATCAGGGATGTTGCAGAGAGCCTTTTTCTAGTAAGTGCCACTGATTGTTAACCCACTTCTAGTGATCCATGTGGGTGCTAGTGATATAGATAGCAGTAGCCCAGAGAACATAAAGAAGGACTACAGAGCCCTGAGAGAGGTGGTTGGGGTCTCTGGAGCTCAGATTGTCTTTTCATCAATTCTCCAGGATAAAGGGGAGGACCTTAAAAAGGCTTGGAGGATTGGCCAGGTTAATAAATGGTTAGAACTGTGGTGCCAGAGTCAGAGGTTTTGGTATTTAGAACACGGGAGCCAGTTTAGGAGGCCAGGTCTGCTGGGGGCTGGTGGAGCTGGTCTTCGGTAGATGTCTTGCTAGACTGGTCAAAGACGCTTTAAACTAGATGTGCTGGGGGAAGGGGGCATCATTCCATCCCAACACACTCAGTCAGTTGCCAGCACCTATAATAAATGCTCGGATCAATGCAGAGATATTCCATCTGCTCCAGCCAATGAGCCAGCTTCATTTGGAGCTCGGCTCAGATGCCTCTACACAAATGCCTGTAGCGTGGGGAACAAGCAAGAGGAATGTTGCACATCTACGGTGTGGCCCAGCACAGGCAATCCAGGAGGTTCCTCGATTGTGTGGAAGACAACTTCCTTCTGCAAGTAACAGAGGAGCTGACAAGGAGAGGTGCCATGCTTGAGCTTGTGCTCACCAACAGGGAAGGGATGGTTGGAAATCTGATGCTCCAGGGCAGCCTTGGATCCAGCGATCATGGGATGGTTGAATTCGAGATCCTCAGTAGAGTGAGAAGAGCGTGCAGCAAGCTCACTGCCCTGGACTTCAAGAGAGCAGACTTTGGCCTCTTCAGGAACCTGCTTAGTAAGGTTTCATGGGTTATAGCCCTAGAGGGCAGGTGGGGCTAACGCTGTTGGTTGATATTCAAGGGTCACCTGCTACAAGCTCAGGACTGTTGCGTCCCGACTAGAAGGAAGTGCAGCAGGAGGGCCAGGAGACCTCCTTGGATGGATAAGGAGTTGCTGAGGAAACTTTGAAGGAAAAAAGAGGCTTATAAAAGGTGGAAGCAAGGACAGGCAGCCTGGGAATAATACAGGGATGTTGGTCGGGTAGTTAGTTAGCAGAGAAGAGATTGAGAGCAGCCCTGCAGAGAAGGACTTGGGGGTGGTGGTCAATGAGAAAATGAACATGAGCCGGCAGTGTGTGCTCACAGCCCAGAAAGCCAACCGTATCCTGGGCTGCATCAAAAGGAGCGTGACCAGCAGATCAAAGGAGGTGATCCTGCCCTTCTGCTCATGTGAGACCTCACTTGGAGTACTGTGTGCAGTTCTGGTGTCCTCAACATAAAAAGGACATGGATCTGTTGGAACAAGTCCAGAGGAGGGCCACGAGGATGTTCAGGGGACTGGAGCACCTCCCATATGAAGACAGGCTGAGAAAGTTGGGGCTTTTCAGCCTGGAGAAGAGAAGGCTGCATGGAGACCTCATAGCAGCCTTCCAGTATCTGAAGGGGGCCTATAGGGATGCTGGGGGTGGACTCTTCGTTAGGGACTGTAGTGATAGGGCAAGGGGTAACAGGTTAAAACTTAAACAGGGGAAGTTTAGATTGGATATAAGGAAGAAATTCTTTCATGTTAGGGTGGTGAGGCACTGGAATGGGTTGCCCACGGAGGTTGTCAGCCTCCAGGGCCATCAACCTGGCCTTGAACACTGCCAGGGATAGAGCATTCACGACTTCCTTGGGCAACCCATTCCAGTGCCTCTCCACCCTTACAGTAAATAAGTTCTTCCTTATATCTAACCTGAACTTCCCCTGTTTACGTTTAAACCCTTTGTCCTGTTGCTACAGTCCCTGATGAAAAGTCCCACGCCGGCATCCCTATAGGCCCCCTTCAGATACTGGAAGGCTGCTGTGAGGTCTCCACGCAGCCTTCTCTTCTCAAGGCTGAACAGCCCCAACTTTCTCAGCCTGTCTTCATACGGGAGCTGCTCCAGTCCCCTGATCATCCTCGTGGCCCTCCTCTGGACTTGTTCCAACAGCTGCTTGTCCTTCTTATGTGGGGGACACCAGAACTGTATGCAGTATTGCAAGTGGAGTCTCACAAGAGCGGAGTAGAGGGACAGGATCACCTCCTTCAACCTTCAGGGACAACTTCCACTAACCCAGGTTGCTCAAAGCTCCATCTAACCTGGCCTGGAACAGTTCCAGGGGTCAGGCACCCACAGCTTCCTTTCAGCTGTTATGAAGAGATGTGTAGACATTAAAATACTATTCAAGATTTAGTCATGCGAGATTTTAGAATGCTGCTGATAAAGAACCTGTATTTCATTGCTTGGAAACTCTGTTGAGTTTTTACAGCTGGCAAAAAGCTCCTTTTATTTTGGGAGTACTTACTATGTTAGAAGTACAGATCTAAGCATTTTGTCTATTTCAGAGGTAACTTTTCCTGGTATTTGCATGCTTTTCATTGAAGTTGATTGTGCTATATTGTTTTAGCTTAGTATTGTTGTATCTACTTGGGATATAAAAACTTTTGGGTTTATATCCCATGTAGAGGCTTATTTTCTTGCTTTGTGCATGTATACAGAAGTCCATACACTTAGACTGTCTTCAGTTTCTGTATACTGGTTTTTGTGTTTATATTAGTGATTATGTTTGCCTGTAGTAGTTGTGTGAAATTTCTCTGTTACAGTAATGTTAGCTGTTCTTGCCTTTTAGAACGTTATGGAATTAGATTATTATGCTTTGCAGCCCATGTGTTTTTCTGCTCCATTTGCTCAAGGTTACATTATGCCCTGTGGAAGGTCAGTTAAAGCTTTCACCTTCATGAACCTCCAGAGCAGATTTTATGATTTCATCATTGAAAGCACATTGAAATGCATTGGTTAAATCTGCAGCAAGGACTGACCTGAAGCACACCTTTGGCATACACTCATTTCTGTTTGTGCTGCTGATTCATTGCTTAATGATCGCTATGGAGTCACAGCAATTGAATAACAGCTGTATTGTTTAATATTTCATTTCAGTGTCTTTGTATAGTTTTCTAAACATGTAACTTGTGAATATGATCAACAACTTTTCTTGCTAGTTTCCCTGGCTCCAGTAGGAGTATTACATTCAACAGTTTAAGTCAAGATATTTTTGGTTGGTTGGTTGGGTTTTGGTTGGGTTGTTTTGGGGTTTTTTTTTGGTTGGTTTGGTTTTGTTCTCTCCAGGTACCATACTCCAGGAGATTGTACTAGATTGTAATTTCTCTCTAGTTTGAGATGGCCTATGGGATGCAGTCCCACAAAATACTGAAGTATGCTTAACTGTAGACATGGGAATAGTTGATCTGAACCCAGTAATGTTGCTCAGATGCCAAATTTTCCTAATAAAGTTGTGATAATCTCATTTTTTTTAATTTTATACTTCTTTCCCTATTGATAGGATAAATTATGTCTGCATTTATACTATATATACACTTACAAAATCTAGTTTATTTGTAGGACCTGTGTATGGGAGTGGAGGGGAGTGGGGGGGAGTGGCCTCTTGTTTAAGTAAAATAGAATTTTAAAAGCCTGCAAAGTTAGTACTTGTCAGGCATAATGAGCTCAAACACAGACTGCATCTACAGCATATAAACAATGTACCTTTTGTTTTCTTCATTTCAATTAACATTTCTTCATTTCAATGTGACAGCAGACTCATTGTCTGATCTGTTGTAATCTAACTTCTCTATGCTTAGGAATGCATTGATGGAAACTGATGGAACTCCGGAAGTTATGACCATAATACAGATGTTTACACAGGTTTTCCTTCAGGCTCATCAGAATGAAAACAAGCAGGTTAGTAAAGATCTATTTCTAAACGTTTCTTTTCAGTAAGAAGATAGAAAATTTCACAAAGAACAATTTTGCCCTTAAGAATGGTGACGGAATATATAAATAATAGCATCTCCCTATAGGTGTATATATTGCCAAAGTTCAAACGTTTTCATCTGTGAATAAAATCATAGTATGAAACCAGTATGTGAGAGCAATTTACCTGACTTCACCTGGAGTAATCCTGCAACCTAAACTGTGAGTTTCATAGGACAGTTCACCTAGTGGTTAAGTTTCTATCTGTACAGTGAACATGATCATGATCATCTGTCTTTTATAGAAAGGATGAAAAACTTCAGCATGTTTTATTTTTGCAGTAACAGGGTTTTTCATAAGTAAAACAGAGATAATAACCTTATCCTCATTTCTCAAAATGATTGTAAGTAGGATACTAGATAGTCAGATTTGTCTGTTCAGAAGGTAAAAGGTGCAATACACACTGGTTTCAGTTCCTGGTCTTTACCATTTGCTTTCAGAAATTTTTCCTCAGCCTGAAGATTCAGATATCCCAGCTTAATGTCTCTTCTTCTGCACAGATTTCTGTACAGCCCTTACTGAACTAAGTAGAATTATTTTTGTATGTATTAATATAAATAAGAGCAGGATCAGCTTCTCATTTTTAAATTTTGAAATTGAGATATGAAAAGTCTTGTCTTGTTAATAGGTTGCAAACTTTTTAGGCTCCCAAATTACACTGTCACTTCACATCCTGACAATTTTGTTTGGTTGTTTAACTCCATAAGTTCGAAAAGTGTCATATATTTTAATAAATTTCACTTTTAGACTTAAGAAAATTTCCAGTTCCTTTGATTTTTGCATCTGTTTAGGGAGATGGTAGTTAAGAAAATTTTGGGATTTCTTGGAACTTGTGATGCATTGTCCTGTAATAAGTGGTGTGATTCAATCTGTCTTCTAGCTTCAGGCAATATGTAGTAAGGATGAAAGTGCAGCTGTCTTGCTTCACATGCAGGTGCTGTGTATGCTCATTTTATGCCACCCTGGTTGCACGCTAGCATCACACTGTGTGGAAAAACATAAAGATTCCATGCTCGTCAGACACCCAGAAGCCAGTCCTGTTGGGCAGGTGATACATTTGCTTCAGGGTGAAAGTCCTTCACCTATTGGCATTGCAATATGGACTATTGCTCACTTTTTTTGAAGTGTTACTAAATGTTAAGTTTCCTCTATTTAACTTGTATACAGTTTAATTCATAGGCTCTAATTGAGGTATTATCTTAAGATTGTTAAATCCTTTGTTCCAGTTTGTGAATCAGCCATAATGTTAACTGAGAGCTAGCTTAGAAAAATTCAGGCACAGATTGCTCACTTTTTTTTTTTGTCATACCAATATTGCATCTATTCATAAGGTACCCATCTTTGTGGTATCTGGATGCCCTTGACAGAACATGTGCTTCATTAACATTTCACAGAGGCATGGTAAAACCATTAACAACAGAAGATGAAGAGGGTTCTGCGTGGTCATCTAAGATCGTAGGAATTTATAGTACAATTAATTGAAAAAAGGCTAGGCAAACAGATTTGTCCCCAAAATTTTCGAAAGAACCAGGTCATGTCTGCCAGTTGCACAGGTTTGCAAGGGAGGAGGAGTATGAGACTTTTGCAGTGTGACTGCTGTCAGAAACAGCTGTCTTTTCTAATAACTTTGAAGACTACTTAAAGAGAACAAGGTTGGCAGAAGGAAAGCTGAAGAATGTGAAAAAGTGCTACAGGGGTTAGGAATTAAATTCCTTCATCTGTGTTTGGGTAGAGTGAAAAAGGTATAAATGGAACATGGGATTTAAACCTACTTAGGAAAAAAAAAACACTTATATAGGCATTGAATAAGGAATTTAAGAGTGGGTGTACTGAGATCACTGTTGTGATAATCCTTTCCATGTTTTGTACAACCAGATTTTCTTCAAGTTTATTACTGTAGTGAAAGCTGACCAAAGGATATTTGGGTTACATTGCTCATAAATTTATAAACTTAAAGTTTTAAGGCTTAGTTGATGGAAACTGTAATTTCCTCCAGGATTATTTTCCCTTGATCATTTCAGAATTGTCACTGGTTCTCACTTGGGAATTTTGTTTTAAATCACTGGATGAATATTTTAAGCCAGTGTGATACTTTTATTTCCTGTTATACATCAGGGCAATTATTATAACCAGCTACGTCCAGACTCGGTCTGTCTCTTTGAACCTTGTTTTGCACTTTGTGTTGTCTTATGTAAGGAAAGAACTGCCTAAAATACTGTGTTTGCTTGATAGGAAGCAAATTTTTTTTTTGCTTTGCTTAAACAGCATGCTGAAAACTGGTTTTCACTTACTTTTCAATACTATTTTTATATATAACTCATTTTGTGGGCTGTTTTAGCTACTATTAACTGTGTCAAGAGCTGCTTTTTCATGGTGATTCTTGGTGCAAACTAATTGGCTACATGCATTCTTTAGGATAGAGATTATTAATTTTTAATTAACTTAATTCCACTTGACAGGTAGTCTTTTATAGTCTTACCATACCAGTGATTGTCTGAGAGTGCAACATGTATGTGTGCTGTAATTTCAATTAATTGTTGTTTACAGAACAAAAAATCAGTACAGACAGAATGTCACATTGTCTTTGTTTTTAAGATGCATGCATCTATATATCCAAGATAGATTAGTTACTAAATATGGTCTTCATTGGATTTAGAAATTATATTTTATAGAATGTGTTTCTTTTATGTATATAATATATATATATTCCACAGAGTCTGTTTGTCAAGAGATGACCTATTTATTAGATACTTTATTAATCCTAAAGAAAGGAGATGGAATAGTTCTAAGGCTAATAGTATGGAGACTTGAAGACTGAAATGACAGAATCATAGAGGTTGAGGTTGGTGGCCTTTGTTGAACTCTCTCCAGTATGTTGATGTGTCTCTTGCACTAAGGAACCTGAAACTGCGCATAGTACTCCAGGTTTGGCTGCTGGAGTGGCTGCTCACCAGTGCTGAGGAGTGGCGAAGGATCACCTCCCTCGACCTGCTGGCAATCCTTTGCATAATGCAGCTCAAGATACAATTTGCTGCCTTTGTGGCAAGGGCGCAGTGCTTGCTCAAGTTCAATTTGGTGCCCCATCCCAGCCTGTACTGGTGCCTGGGGTTGTTCCTTCCCAGGTTCAGGACTTAATACTTTCTCCTTGTTGAACTTCATGAGGCTTCTACCAGCCCATTTCTCCAACCTGTCAAGGTTCCTCTGGATGGCAGCACAACCCTTCAGCGTTATCAGCCACTTCTCCCAGTTTGGTGTTTCTCCGCCCCTTCATCCAGATCATTAATGAAGATGTCTAACAAGATCGTATGCAGTATTGACCCCTGTGGTACACCACTAGTTACTGGCCTCCAACTAGACTTTGTGCCACTGACCATCACCCTCTGGGACTGGCTATTCAGTTTTCAGTTCACCTCAAAGGCAGTTCATGTTGCACTTGCACATGCATGCTACACATTAGACAAGCCTGCAGTAGATATCTGCAGAACAAAAAGATTAAAGATATGATTAAAGGTGTGTTGCTGCTAGTCTCAACTACACAAGCAGCAATGGTCATAGTATACAAGTCATACATGCATAGTATACAAGTCATGCATACCCCGCTAAACTGAGGACAAGTCTGTTATGTGTGACTACCCTACCTTGTGCTGAATCAGATCCTAAGAACTTTAGGTTTTCTTTTCTGAATAAAAGGCAGTAATCCACACTACACTCGGATATTGTAGATGTTATTAGTTCTTAGTTTAGTATGAAGCTGTTCATACTGGAAAATGAAATTAAACTAATTAGTGTCTCTTTTAACCTCTGCATGTTGAGTTGAAGTCTTGGTATTGCAGGGAAAAAGCCTAAGAGTATTAAAATGTAATTTTCTTCATAGTCTGAATCTTTTTTAAGGCATATATTTAAAAAAATACGAAAGTATTTTTTCTAAGCAAGCTTCTCCTAACCATCCCCATCTTTTTTAATACAAAATCCTAAAATTAAGTGTAAAGTTACTTTTCTGTTCTCTCGCTTCAGTCTGTATTAATTACTACCTTAGATGAGATTGTTCATTGTGAGTTTGTTTTGAAAACTGACCTGAAGGCTCTTAAAATAATGATTTTGTATCTTAGCATAAATTTTCACTGAAGGCGTACTTTCCTTACCATCACCAGCCTCTTGTAACAGCTTTACTCAGACGTCCTTTTGGTAAGTTTCTTCATGAAATATTTGTAGCATTAGCCAACCTCCATCACCTGTGTACCTCTTCAAATAACTTTAAGAGGCTTGAAGAAAAAATTACACCATTTCTTAAACAGGTTGTGTTGACTTATCAGTTTTAATAATAATCTTTTAATGCTTTGTTTTGGTTGTGGGAGAGGTTTTAGATGTTCCTGAAAAAACCAAATTCTCATGTAACAATAATGCAGACGTAACTTTAAAGAAAACTAAACCAGAAGTGAATTATAAAGAAAGGGTGCTTAATTTTCTAGAACTTAACATGTTACTGAGATTGTAAAAATACAAAATATTCTTATTAGTTGTCATGAAAATTTTCGTATGTGTGTTACAAGAATAGCCTTGCCAATTGTCTCTGAAGCTTGAATTCTGCTGACATTTTAGATTGCAAAATTTATTATGTTTTTAGGTTTCCCATTTCTATAGATCAGTATGATGCAGTTTTATGATACTGTTCAGTATGATACAGTTTTTCATGAGGAATAATTTCAGCTAGTACAAGAGCCTCTGACAATATTACTGCACTGATTATATATTGAGATGGCATTTACACAAGGGTGCATCTGCCTCATTTGAATATTGCTAGCTGTACTTCATCACTTAGCTTTGTAAATGAATTGTTCTTAGAAACTCAGTAATCAGTATTGTTGAAAATTAGGAAATTTCAAAATGAAATTTTAAATGCTTCATGATAACCGAATCAAGTTGCACAAATTTTAGTGATAGATTAATGTGGTTAATATGGTTAATTTTGCTAGCTGGACAAAGTAGAATTTAAAGTTTTATGTTTATCCTCCCTCCTCAGAGCTGCCAGCTACACACTGGTCTGCACATTTGAAACACATTTCAGATACGCTCAAAGCATTGGTAGAAGATACAAATGTTAGGTAAGCAGTATTATATTTTCTAATTTTTTGTCCTTTGTACATTAGTTTGTGAAAAGACCTGTCATTCAAAGTCTTCAGTGGCTACATTTCATAATTTGCTTCTTATTCTCAAAGTAGAGATTTGTTTTGAAGAATAGGACTTTGTTTACTTAACTAAACCTGAAGTTTGTAGCACCTATAGACCTGTCCAATAAGCCCTGGGTAAATAAAATCTTGTTGTTCCTTTCATTTAAGCAAATAGCTAGCTGTATAGCAGAACTGCTTACTTGCCTACTCTCCCATTTCTCTCCCCAACTTTTAAAACCAATTCTGGATTGACAAACAAGAACTCTTCCAACCAGAAAAGCAGCTAGTATTGTAAAGAGTTTGTTGTGAGCAGTACCATTTTAGTTGTATTTGCTTTTTGCAGGCTTATGCAAACATCCAAACTTCCACCTTCTTGATGGGTTTTCTTATATAGATAGGACTGCTAGACTGCAGTATCATTGCTTGTTATATTACTGTTGGAGCTGACCTCCCATGTTTCTGACCTATGGTCCTTCACTTTTTTTTTTTCCTGAATAGTTGATATAATGATGATAGTGTTTGTGTACATGAATTCTACTTTCTTAGTAGATGCTCCAGGGCTGTATCAAAAAGAATGATAAAAGATACATTTCTCTGTTGCTGCCCTGTAATTCTTTCATATCAGGTGTGATGAGACCTGACTTGATTAGATCTGCTCCAAGAGTCAGCTTTCCAAAGAAAGTTGAACAGCTTTTAAATAAACTAATTTTTATTTTAAACCTGAAATATTTCAATAAAAACATGGAATGCTTAGGCCAGATAGACTTGCAAAAGATACCCAGCTGTCCCCCTGTGTCCTGGAAGACTGATACTTGCATCCACACTTGGTTTCAGTTAACTCATGGAGACTTTTTTGTTGTTGTTGTTGAGTGGCAGAAGTAGCTTTTTGCTGTTCCCTCTAAGGCTGAGCTCTTTGCTGGCAGCTTCTCACTTTCTGTATAAGCTGCAGTTCAGTGCACACGTTCATCCCGGAAGTCTGTCAAACCTTTCCGCCCTTGGAGTGTGACCAGTAGCTGACCCTGGCTTCTTAAAGAAACACATAACTGAAACTTAGAATAAACAAATAAGTATTATCCATCATACTGTATTACAGTAATAGAAACATATCTGTTCTCCTTCTGTGGCCTAGCCCTTTCTTGTCTTATATGGTCTTTCCCCGCTTTGCTTTCATAATACACTAGTTTGAATAGTATTGTACTTGCCAGAATATTCCCTTACTTCCTTTAGAACTCATGGAACAATTATGTTTTCTACCAAACCCCTCTCAGTTAAAAAGAAAATGGATCTGGCTTGAATTTTTAAATACTAATATTCACAAGGAAACTGTGTACAATTTTCTTTTATTGCTTTATTCCTGATTCTGCATCCTTTATACGTAGTAAGATTAACAGAGGAGTGAAAAATAGCACTATACAGCATTCCCTCTTGCTTCTTATAATCAATGCTTTCTGTTTATATAGCCTGGTTTTAAGTGGTTTTATTTTACACCAAATCTCACTCTTTCAGCAAGGTGCTGTGCAGTTCTAGTCAACAGGTTGCTTCTGTGCCACTATTATATATTATACATGAAGTCATCTAGTAAATATTATATGACATTTTAAATCAGAAACCAATTGATGTACATTTTGCGGGGGGAAGTCCCAGAGAAAGTGAAGGGCTGCTTTTGGCAATGACAGTGGAACAGCTGACAGAGACTGTTCTGACTGTTCTGAGCAGGCAGAAACAGCAGCAGGGACAGAAGTGGAGGGTACGTGAATCCAAACTGAGCACTTTGATGGTACAGGAAAGTTATGGTGAGTTGTAAATGGCGCCCAGGCTCTCTAGTCAAGAATTAAATCCTATTCTGCTAAGTACTTGTTAATGTTTAATGCATAATATTTAAGAATTTGTATTTACCCTTTGAGCAATAAACACTTACAGTCCTAAATACTGTCAATATTACCCTTAGTTACTTGTTTTCAGTACTTAACTTTTAATTAAATTCCATTTTTTATTGTAAATCCCTGGGTTTCAAAGCTAGCCTATCCACTTATGTTGTCAGAGCATTGACTTATGGTCAGAGAAGTAGGCTGCTGTTCTAGATTGCAATCACCTCTTTTTTTTTTTTCAAAGGTTTTTAATGTTGACTTTCCAGGTTCTACTATCTTCAAAGACTTTTAACAGTGCTGATCCTGTTCCTTTAGCCAAGGAATTTTAATCTCAGGTTTTGTCACACATCACAGCATTCTGAGCCATCCTGCTGTCCCCTCTAAAAGCTGTGGAATATCAGCAGTGGTGACTTTTATAGCAGTCACCTCAGTATTCTATTTTCTCTCTATGTCAACCTCTTATGTCTGATGTCAGTTAACATGCTTATCCAGAAATACCAGTGTGACGGATTTGTGTCCCAGGAATACGATTTTAAGACCCTGAAATTGTATGTCATATTGACAATACCATTTTCAGGATCAGTAATTTCTGGTATACCTGTAGACAACATCAGTGACTGCTATACTCCAGGCAGAATACTATCTGCATACACCATACCTTCATCCATAAAGCTGTGCAGCCCACCCTTCCAGGAAGTCTTAAATATAAAGCAGTATATTCCAACTATGATCTTGTCACATTCCCCAGATAAAGTGATGGTATCAGACAACTTCATTAGCTCCTGAAACTTCTCAGATCTTTTGGAGTTTCCTGTAAGGGGTGGCACAGCAGCTCTTGAAGTCCCCTGGAATAAAGCTTAAGAAAAACCTATAATGCTTAAAACTTTTCCCAAACATAACAGGAATAATCGTACCTCGTTCTTAATTCCTTCCAGCTGTACTTCTGTCTGTCCTTCCTTCCACATTTAGTTTGACTTTTTGCTTTGAGATGCCTACTGTTGGTTTGCATCTTCCCGTTATTTCTCTTTAGTTTATTTTAACTTCAGAAGAGTACAAGTGAGAAAGTGTAGCAGTGAGCTGTGGTTCATTCTCATCTTTCTTTTTCTTATGCAGAAACCCAGATGTAAATACCTTCAAAATTCTCATTAAAGAGTACCTGAATTTAAGAGTCAGAAGATGAATATCCTTAAAAACTTTATATTGAGTCCATCTAAATGTAATTCCTCATGAATTACCAAAACCCAGAAAATAACCTTGGAAAGAAACTGGAAGGCAATATAAAACAACAGTGTCTTAGAATGCAGCATTTGAGATATTACTTACAGTTTTGAAAATCCTTCAACTGGAAAGTATAGTTGATAAAGTTTAATTTTGTGATATGTATTTAATACATAATATTTTGTCACAGAAACTGGTGTAATGTTCTGTCCTACTGGCAAAGTTAATATCTTAGTAGCAGTGGATGTGTCTCCTTTGGTCATGACTGCAAACAGTAGAGTAGTACATGGCTGTATATTTAGCAGGTAAGGCATATCTATGGAAGAAAGTTTCAGGATTTTTATTTTCATGCCAGCACCCTTTGCAGTTAACACATTTAAAATGTTAAATAACAAGAAATACTTAATTCTATCTTTGTCATTTCCCAGTTCTGCTGCTGACCTTTTTGAAATCTGGTTTTTGGTTGTTTGTTTTGGAGAATGGCTCGATATTGCTGCAGAACAATTACTGAAGGCTGCTGTAGAACCAGATGCTTTGCTGTGGCTGCTGGCGTTTTACTACTGTCCTCAAAATGAAAATCAACAAAGGACTCAAACAGTGGTGAGTAATGTAGTGATGTTAAGCAGCAATAAGCGGTCAATATTCTGCTTATATCTTATTGTTATAAAACAAATAGTGCATACCAGAAAAATGAAAGTTCTATACTGGAGAAAGTACTGGCTTTACAAGGTCTCCTGGGAACTGTGTTCCAGTAGAGAAGCTGAAAGATAATTTTGTGGATTTACTTGGTGACATCTATAAAACATTTTCCCTCTTTCTGAAGTATATTGTATAGATAAGCACCTTCTTGTCTTTCTTTTGGTAACTTGGGTGGTTTTAATCACCGGTAAACCTACTCTAGGATGGTTATTTTTTAAATCACTGTGTAGCATTGCAGTGTTATGGCATCTTCTGATAAGGAAACACAAGAGAAATTGCAACAGCAGCTGAAGCAGTAAAGATACTTTTCAGACACAGCTATGAATCTTTGCACATCTATTCTGATTTCTCTTATCTATCTATACTGATATTTTGCATTTATGAAACTGTAAAAAGTATGTTATATTCCACAATATGCTAGGTTTCTAGCAGAAGGAAACTATGTTCTAACCTCATGCACTGTACTGCATGAAGAGTGCTGTGTGTCTGCATATTTACACAAATAGCATGAAAGCCTTTAATTTAGACCTATTATACAAGTTTGAACTGGCCTAAGCAACCTGATCTACAAAGCTCAGATTCAAAACTCGGCTGCAGCAGCTCCATTATTTATTTTTTTTTAAACAGATTCTGTTTGATTTGAAAATGCAGCCCAGTATACCGTGCTAGAAAAACATCATACTTTCATTGTGCATCTAGTGGTCAATGTATCACAGTATGTTCTTCAACATTCTATTTCCTTCCCTTCCTGCAACCCAGATGGCACTACAAACACAAGCTCACATCCCAGTCACTTAAAACTTTTCCTCTTTTAATTTCTTACAGTCTAGGAGTGGGCTGGGGTGTTGGCTGAGCTACAGTGAAGAAACTGGGATTGATTGGTTTTGGAAAAGAAGGCAACACCCAAGCAATATAAAACTGAAGGACTGTAGGTGCAGATCTCTGTATCGTTACTCTAACTCCAGCATCACAGAAAGAAACCACATTGTCCCATACCCAAAATTATCTCCCTGTGTCCACCCTATTCTATCAGTTTGTTATTTTGTGATAATGTACGACAAACTTTAGGAAGAAAAAAGCTTTTCCACGGACAGCCCACGCAGTTACTCATCTCTTCCCAGGGGTCTAATATTTCAGTTCATTATGATTCTTTTCTGTAGTTACTTCAAGTAAGACTTATTTTTTTCCACAGGTCAGGCAACTTCAGAAGCATTCCCACAGTTCATGCAAAGCTTCTGCCTTTAGTTAGATACTTGCTTTTTCTTTTAATTTGTCCTTTGCAGGTTAGCTCTATAGAGTGTTTCCTTCCTCAACCCCTGCACCAGTTAAGGATTAAGATGGGATGGGAACTTCTAGCAGATGTCAAGCTGGAGGACTTTCCATGCAGCCTATTTTTGTGTGGAAAGGCATGCACTCATGACTTAACATTTTGTCTTCCTGCTACTTACTTTAGATAGCAACTTAATATCAGCAAGAGTGGGATATATAAATTGATTTAAAGAAGACGGAGGCTAATTTTGCTGTTCACCAGTCTTCACTCATATGTGCAGGACTGAATATACTGCTACTCAATCATTTGTTAAGGGTCCTTTATACCTTCAGACTCTGAAACACTAGAGGAAGAAATCTTGGAGGTTGGTCATAGTAATTTTGGCACCGAGTCTCCAAGGGTGGGTGGCATAATTCAAGAATAGCAGCTTTTTCAGATATTTTATGTTGAATCGGTAATAGTGCAGGGCAAAGTTGATGAATGACTGAAACAAATTTTCCTCATTAACACAGTTGAGAAGTGGGTGTCTTTTTCCTTTGGGTCCTCAGTGGTGTATTTTTCCACTGTTGCTGCAGTTACTCATTTTGTTTTTTTCTACCAGTTTGGTTTATTTTTAATATAGGGAACAACATTATTCTTAGGATTTTTTGCAGTAGTTGCTTATACTTTTTTTTTCAATTGTGTAGGTGCCAAAATCTTCTGTTTTCTACTTGCAGTAAAAATTAGTTTTTATGGGCTAACTCAAAAGGTAAAAGCATAAGTTGCAAACAACACAGGAAGAAGGAAAAAAATGCATTCATACCAGAACATTTTATCAGGGAAGGCCAGGCTGCATGGGGATTTAACTGATTTGTAGCGGCAATACTGAAATGAGCCCTTGAGGAGCCTCTGTTCTTCTGTCCACAATGCAAAAATCTGACTGTGTTCTGCTGAGGGAATTTCTCCATTTCCATTTATTATTAAAAAAAGGTCAAATCCTGGCTCGATGCCCTGCCTGCTTAATTTGCAAGACCTAAGAAAGTTAAAAAATCCATTCTGTCCACTTCTGTCTGAATCAGTATGAAAGAAATGTGTACAGCCCTTCCTTCCCTGTTCTCCCTGCTCAAACTCTTTTCATGTTTGGGTAATTTGTGCCAAGGATTCAGTTTCCTGTTAGTGAATAAATCCAAAGGAAAAATACCGTAAGTATGACCTTTACTCTTCTCTGATCCTTCATCCTTTGAAATTGTTTCCTACAGGTAGAAGCTAAAGCAGTCTACAATCATCTAATGAGGCTCTTCAACCATATAGTCCTTTCTGTCAAAGATCTGGAGGCTGCTGTACACAGTATAATAGATACAGAGCGGTGTTGTAACCAGCGTCTTATAACACATCTTCTTACCAACTTTTTGCTCTTTTCATCTGGGGGACAAAGAATTGCCCAGGAATTTATTTACCATGTAAGTATTTCCCTTTTTTCAGTGTAAGTAAAACATGGGTTTTTTACTATTTTAGATTTAAGTTCCTGTCTCTTAAAAAAAAAACACCAAACCACAACAAATCCACAAATCACATAACAGAGAATTAAAGAATATTATGACTACACCAGCTACACCTAGCCTGCTACATCTTTATTTTCAGCCACAGTCAAAATATTTTCCTTCTTAACACTTCTTGACAAGATCTCACTGGAGAGGTTGCTGTCCCGACTATACAGCTGCAGAAATAGTTGGAGCACTAGCTTGCAGTTAAGGGATATCTACAGTTCCTGGCACAGACATTTGGCCATGCTCATCCAAACATTTTATTTTCCCTAATTATAAATCACTGCTGATCTGCTGTAGAGATGATGGAAGTGTCTTCTCTCTGTTTTCTATTAAGTAAAACAGCTAGTTACTGAGTGTTAGCATTGATGAGGCAAACACTTGGTGCTTTACCAAAGCCAGAGAGGAAAACAGTATGATAAGAGAAAAAAAGAACGGAGATATGAGAGTGAAGCATGGGATCAGACTCTGCAACTCAGAGAGAGTTATAAAGCAGATTACAGCACTGGGTGCAAGAGGGATCGCTCCTCCTAACTTGCACACCGAGGGGTTAAGCAAGCAGGTATTACACACAAACATGCATATTCATTAGGTTCCTGAGAGTTTGACGGGGTATTATAATTAGTTTAGGTACTCATTATCATAAGTCTCCTCCCTTCTGATGCTTGCACATTGCCCTTCGATGGTCGTGGGCAGGGGTCTTCAAGATGAAGTAAGCAGTCTTCCTCAGGGTGCACTCTTCACCTTTGGCACAGTTGGATGCCCCAGTAATCACAAATTAGCTGAAATCAACCATGTCTGCAAGTTTCTGATAGCTGGCAAAGATTTAGAACAGTCTGACCTTCGTACAAATTTTATTGCAAGCAGAACAGGATGGGCAGGCAAGGAGTATCCTAAGGTAGCAGGTGTTTGGGAGTCACCATCTGCAAAGTAACTGATAATTAGGATGGTCACTCATTAGAAGGATGATGGAAAGAAATAGTTCACTCTTGTTAGTAAGACTACTAAATTCTGTTATCACACCACAGACTTACAACACAAACATTGTTCTCTATCTCAGACCTAAGATAAGGTAAAAGTTATCTTAACCCTATGTTTTCCAGGCACTTGCTTTCCTTATATCAAGAGAATGTCACTTAAGGTGTAAAAAAAAAGCTAAAGAGGGGTAAAATTTGGAAGCATCCCCATAGCATGTTGCTATATTGTTGCTGACATTCTTTAAGTATACTGGTACAAACAGTAAAATGCATTTTTCTCTCTCAAGGTTACTAGTGCTATCTTGGTATGAGATTAGGAATTTATTCCTCTCTAACTACAAAACCATACTCTTCATAAGTACAAACCTTCTGTGCAAGCAGACCTAGGGCAAGTGCTAGGTTTTAGCATGTTTTTTTTTTTTTCAGCAGCAGTGTGCTTGTACGTCTGTATACGGTATATGGCATGTATAAGGAGCTTGTTTTTATGATGCAGGCAACTGGTAACCTATTTTGGTGTTTATTCTGGTCGTTATTCTAACTTGGTGATATTCTGGCTGACTAAACACACATAACATTTTTCTGTTTAAGAAGGGCTAAGGTATTTCCAGCATGTGAGGTGTAAGTTCACACGTGATCAATTTCTCCTTTGCATAAGAATATAATGATAAAATTTAGGGGGCTGTATGGACTTTTACAGTCTCCTGGGTTTAGTTTTTCTTTCAAGGAGTGTGGCTGTTGAGCAGTGATGCTGCAATACATACTAGTCTTCTACTTTAAACCTTTTCAGGAAGACTAAAGGCAGTTTCTTTACAGAAGGCAACATAGCTAACTTTCAAAACTCTGAGTATTCCCCAGTGTGGGATGCTCATGAGCTGTTGTAGGCCAGAGTATGTTCGTGTGATCATATCTGTCAAATACTGTGAAGGGATGCCATCCAGGGGGACCTAGACAATCTTGAGACGTGGCCGAGCGCAAACCTCATGAGGTTCAGTAACGCTAAGTGCAAGGTCCAGTACCTCGGTCAGGGCAATCCCAGGCACAGCTACAGGTTGGGCAGAGAATGGATTGAGAGCAGCCCTGCGGAGAAGGACCTGGGGGTGTTGGCTGATGAGAAGCTCAACATGAGCCAGCAGTGTGCGCTCACAGCCCAGAAAGCCAACTGTATCCTGGGCTGCATCAAAAGGAGCGTGACCAGCAGGTCGAAGGAGGTGATCCTGCCCCTCTACTCTGCTCTTGTGAGACCTCATCTAGAGTAGTATATTCAAATCCCCAACACAATAGGGACGTGGGCCTGCTTGAATTGAGTCCAGAGTAGGGCCATGAAGGTGGTCAGAAGGCTGGAGCACCTCTCCTATGAAGTCAGTCTGAGAGTTGGGCTTGTTCACCCTGGAGAAGAGAGGGCTCCAGGGAGACCTTATAGCAGCCTTCCAGTCTCTAAAGGGGAGCTACAAGAAATCTGGAGAGGGACTTGTTACAAGGGCATGCAGTGCTACGACAAGGGGAGGGGGGTGGCTTTAAACTGAAAGTGGATAGATTTATATTAGGTATTAGGAAAAGATTCTTTACTGCGAGTGCTGTGATACACTGGAACAGGTTGCCTGGAGAAGTTGTGACTGCCCCATCCCTGGAAGTGTTTCAGGCCTGTTCTAGTGGAAGGTGCCCAGCCCATGGTAGTGGGGTTAGAACTAGATGGTCATTAAGGTCCCTTCCAACACAAACCATTCAATGATTCTGTGTAATCATTAATGAGTAGCTAGGCTCTCCATGTGATTTGAAAAGGCCTGAAGACAATATAAGAAGAGCAGAATGCTGGGGAACAAAACTGGGATGCGTGACAGTGTTTTTGGTTAGCATAGTAAACTTGGGGTTTAACAAATACGTAAAGTACCTGCTGAGCTACAAAAATCGCAACTTAGGGTCTTTTCCTGGTACTTTGCCATGTTTTGAGGGAGGCTTCTTTATTAACTTTTGAAAGCTTTACAGAGCTGAATTGTCTCCCCAAATTCATCCAAAACCTTCATGTGCTTTCAGTTGTTTTCTAAGGAGATGACTTATAAATGGTTACACTGTCTGGCCATTTGTGTTTCCTTTAAAAACTTTCTGAGCTCTTCATTTGTTTCACTTAAACTTGAGAGAGCAGTAGAAATCTCAAAATCGTTCAGTTCCACCAAGACATATGAAAGAGACATCTTGGCAGAAGTTGCTTTTAAACTCGGAGCATTTCATATATTCACTGGTGAGGGACAAATCTGTGGGTTTGTTGCAAACATTAATGGAGAATTCTTAGTACCTAGCACCATAATTACATTATGTCCCATCTTTCCTGTTTCCCTTCAGATTACTGAGACAACTGACTCAAGCAAAGAAGTCTGTAGCCTTCTTATCCGTACTGCATACAGAATTAACCGTAATGGAGGAAACACAAGGACTGTGAGGCTGCTGAATGAACTTCTTAAAAACCTAACACTGAAAGTTTAGATTTTTAATATTATCTATTTATCAAGCAAACAAATCAGATCTTTGTCCAGGTGTCAGTGTTTCATTAGCATTTCCAGCAGTAAAAACGTATCTTAAGCCTATCCTGCAACTTTGTATTCCTTCATAAATATTTGAATTTCCTTTCTTGGAAATGTTTGCCCTTTACAACATAATAGTAAATACTAAACATGGTTGAAAATTTTGTGCTGACCACCTTCTTTCACAGGAGACCTAGGTCATTTAAGGCAGTTTAGTCATCTTATTGTTTATCTCTCCGAGGATCAGTTTTTCTCCCAAATTACCCATGGTTTTCTTCACAAAACATATCCAGTTGCTTGGTTGATAAGTTGTTCCTAAAATGTTTTGTTCTGTAATTCTGCTTTTATGGAAGTAACGGTGATCTCAGCTTACGGTGATTCATGGTGAAGGCGCTCTATGTTCTCAGGAAATCAGTGCTGTTTCCTGAACGCTTTAGTTCATTTTTAAAATGTTTCCAAAATGAAACTCCTCAGATTGCTAAATGTTGGTTTTTTGTTTTCCATACTGCAGCTTTCACAGGACAGTGTTCTTTGCATAGTACTATACCAATAGCTGGTCTTTGTCAGCAGATACTGCAGGTAGAGGTTGTTTGCAGTACAGTTTATATTCAGTGTGCTGTGCCTGATACTGTTGTTTATTTGTTGAACAAAACTTCTTTCTTTTCATACAGATAAAACAGATCAAGCACCACATAGGCATAAGGAAACTTCCCACTTTGAGGGCAGAATTTCCTGAAGAGGCCATATGGTTGCAACTCTTTCCTTTTTTTGTCCAGAGGTAGTTTTTGCTCGCTTCATTGTTTCGGTTTTTTGTCTTGGACAAAAGAGCATGGATAGGGAGCAATGGCTTAGTGTCTTACACTTAGGAAAGTATTTGTCCCCAAAAGTTTTTTGAACCTGTTTCCATCTTAACTTAAACACGTAGTAATGACAGAGGATCTGAACAGTTTTCAGTAATTTCTTTTCATATATTACCTGTGTCATTTAATGTCAATACTTCCGCTATGTTCAAATATGCTACTTGGAATACTATTATTGCATATAAAATCAGAGGCATGTATCTTAGATTAATACAGTTTTCTGAATGTAGCATTTGGGTTTGAGCTAAAGAAAAGAAAAACAACGTACTTGGTGTCCCTTGGCTGGAAGAGTGGAAGGGTATTTTCTGTAATGCTGTGGACTGATTTAATTTTGTTCCTAGTGAGTCATGTCAGACCAAATTACAGACATTATATATCCTGTCAATCAGTTTGTTAATGTCTGTAGTATCTGTATTACAAAATATTTAGTATTTGAATCCAGCATATGAAGAAATAGTAAATAAGTAATGTATGTTGTGAATAAAGGGGTTTTTTTTCTCTTTTTGAATTTAAAATAGTTCTGAACGAAAAATCTAAAAGAGGTTATGTTGCAATTTTTCAGTTGTTGGTAGCCACATACATCTAAAAAAGCAAAATAGAGCAACCCTGTTTCTTTCTGTTCCCTGAATATCATACCTGGAATGCATGGGATTAACTATAACTAAATTGTTTTTTGATCACAAGCTCTGAGCTATTTGTCTAGCATGAACACATGTGGAGTGCTCTACCCAGAATGATATATCATCTAAAATTTATCTCCAAAGGAAGAATGATTTAATTTTTTGCTTTAATTTCTAATCCTGTTGTTGGATGTGAGATACTTGGGTTAGATTCTCTCCATTTTGCCACAATATGTAACTACTTAAAAAGAAGACTGGCTAACAGTTGCAGTGTATGATTCTTGCAGATTTGTTATGTGAATTATGTAAGTATTATATTTATGCATGTATGACAGTTGTTGTAGATGACTGTAACTGTCCTTTCACAGTGTGTGGTTTTTGGTTGTGGCTTTTTTTTCTTTTTTGCAACCAATAAAGCACATGAAAATTTTCCTAACTTTCTTAGATGAAATCAATATCCTCTTAAATAGTGACAGGTCAATTTACACAGGAAGGAGATGTGTGACGAAGGCAAAAAGAACAAAATTAGTAGTGAATTGGTACTTTCTTGTTTTCCTGTGTTTGGCTTCTTAAGCAATACCATGATTTAAATATTACAAGATGAGTTTTCTTGTTTCAGAAGGCTTTAACAAAGAAACCTAATTGATGCTATCTGTAACTTTGAAAAAATACATGCATACTGGCATTATTTTGCCTTTTTTAGCACAAATTGTTTTATTTCTTCTTCCTTGCTCTTTCACAGTAAATAGGGTCTAAATTTTATATAAACCATGATTTTGTGGCATGCTGAAGCTACTTTTGGTTGTTTGCCAGTGGGAAACAGTGTGATTTGACAGACTTGAGTAATGGAAGATTTCTCATATGGTGGCTCCTGCATTATCCATCTAATCTAATTGCTGCTTTCTGAAAAAGTTCTTTGAAGACTTCAGGGATGTACTTCTATGCAGAAGCAGCCAACAAGCCCTAAAATCAGCCCTCAAGTAGATTGTTCCTTTCCGTCCAATTTCCATGTCAACACACCCCTTAATCTTGCATATTACACTGAATACAGAGAGCTTTTCAAAATTATTCTTCTTCAAGGAGTTGTTTTGAGTAAGAATACTTGTTTGTTGAGGATGCATCTGTTCCAGTCTATGACTGCTAAGTTGCAGCTTTTTGACTTCCCCAAACTTTCCAGCATGGGCCTGGGTGGTTTCTGCGGATATTGTTGGGGAAAAAAAAGGACACATCTATGGCTTTCACTCAATCAGAATCTTAGCACAGTGCTTACACAAAGCACATTACATTTTATTTTGTGAAGTATGGTAGGAACAGGTGTGTTACCAGGTATTGCAGTTTATCTGACTAGCAGTTAGTCAGTTACTCCTGGGACTTGTGATCAAGTTCCATAATCACAGTGTTGTAAGTGCAGAGAGGTTAATAGAAAGCCAGACTGAAGATGCAAGTAAGTTAATGCTAGTTGTGGTAAGTTAAAACTCATGCCATTGTGGAATAAGTTTTGCTTGATTTTAGTTTTGGGGGGATACAACTGAAAAAAATTGGAAGTATTCTACAAGTTTAAGGTAAAATGTCCAGCAAAAATTAGTTTAAGTTATTAAACCAAGCACTACTAATACAGGTTTACTCCATTTCTTTGCTGTATTATCCACTGACATAATTAAATGCTGATGTTCTGTGTAAGAAGATAATGTCATGGATAAAATGCAGTTTTTCTTGTGATACAAGAAGGGTGAAAGAAGGTGAGATCTGACACTGAAGTGCAGTTTTCTAGTAGATGCAAGTTTGGGAAGTCACAAGGTGGAAAGTTAAGGAGTCCTCCACCAGGGCACCAAGCATGTTTTAGAATCCATGTTTTAACACTTTCTGGATAGTCTGCAATGGCTTTGTTACACAAGCAGTGTGTTTCACAGGGCAACACCAGAAGTTTAATGACTGCAGCTGAATTTGCTGGTGCTAGAGGCAGTTTTCTAGCACTTAATCAGGAGCAGTATTCACATGTGTGCCTGTTTAAGTCGCCCTTCCTCTCTGGCAAGTTTTTCTTACTGGTGAAACAATTTTTCCGTAAGTGCTTGCCTGAATTTAAAAGAAGGGCTCATGGTAGCCATTTCATCTGCTGCCTTAGCAGAGAGTAGCTTATTCTGGGAATTTGCTGTTAGGTGATCTGTTCACTAGTGAATGCCAAAATGGAGTTTCTCTTGCTTGCATTGGCCATATTCCTTTAACAAGCTGTCTGGTTGCTGGGAAGGAATAAACCCCATGAGCCCCTTCTGTTGGCTTAAGCGTACTCACAGTGACTGGGTCCTCTAAGTGGCCAGGAGCCAGCTAGGGATAGGCACTGGACTGCCATCAGCCACTGAAACTAAGATCTAGAAATGTCAGCTAGCTGTAGCATGCTATAGCAATGTAGTTAGTAAGCATGTATTGTGCCTTAGTTTGTACTTTATATCCTTACATGTATGTGAAGGGAGAGTGAGATAGATGGAAGAAAAAAACACAAGATGTTGAAACTCAGTAGTGGAAATTTAGCTGTGATGTTTATATTTGGTTCAGTTGTAGAACTGATAGGATTAGGAAATAACAATTCCATATATAAGACAGTTTATACCAACAAGTAGCAGAAAAATGTCCAGCAATACTATGTCTTTAATAGGTCTGTACATTTAACTAACTTTCCATCTCTTAACATCTCTTGCTACTTTAACAGCATATTTCGTAACTCTTCTGTAGGATCACAGTATCACAGTATGTTAGAGATTGGAAGGGGCCTCAAAAGATCATCTAGTCCAATCCCCCTGCCGGAGCAGGAGCACCTAGATAAGGTTACACAGGAACGTGTCCAGGCGGGTTTTGAATGTCTCCAGAGAAGGAGACTCCACAACCTCCCTGGGCAGCCTGTTCCAGTGTTCTGTCACCCTCACTGAGAAGAAGTTTCTTCTCAAGTTTAAGTGGAACCTCTTGTGTTCCAATTTGTACCCATTGCCCCTTGTCCTTTCATTGTTTGCCACTGAGAAGAGCCTGGCTCCATCCTCATGAAAATGTATGTCAGATGATTGATAGACTTGTTTCATAAAAAAACAGACCCTCAGGAACAATGGCCCTCTCTTTTCTACTGTTTTGAATAGAAATACCTGTTAGGCCCATTAACTTCTGCAGAGGCGTACTGCTATGTTCACATATTTTTACATATTCTTGACCATAACAAACAGTTCCACTTAGTTATCCACATTCTGAATTACACCATCCTCGAGATTTCCCATATGTATGCGCCAAATCAGCCTGTATATGCAGTTTATTCACTTGCTGTTGTTTCTTGTGTGTTTGAGGCTACTGGAATAGGTGTATGCAGTATGTTGTCTGCATGCTATTGTTAAGAGTTTCCTTAATATTTTATGTTTGAAAAAGCAGCCATCTTTGTTCCGACTAATGATGCTGTAACTTCTACTGCATATAAGTTTTCTAAAGATAGGACTTTCATTTTTTCATTCCAAAGAAACTTGTAATGGTAGCTGAGGAGATGGCTTTCCCATCCGTGTCATCATTCTCTATAGAGACCACCAGTAAATGTTTAAGTGCTTTTAATCTCATGGTTGTGCTGCACCTCTATATCAGCTTCAGATGCCTGTGAACAGAGAGGGAAAAAAGCAAGTATCAAATTCCACTGAAGAGGAGAGAGGCCTTGAAATTTGCTACGGATTTTTTAAGATGGAAATGAGCAATACGTGTGTGAATTCAGGCATTATCTGCAAGTTTCAAGTAGGCAAGATCACTACTGTCTTTTCTGCAGACACAACAAAAATACAAGTGTTGTCGTCATAGACCACTAAATTTCTTATTCAAATGCATTGCAAATTATTGTGTTTCAACTTTCCTTTCTTGTGGGTTTGCTTTTTTCTTTGCTAAGCCACAAAAGATCGGTGCTGAGCAATACACAGTACAGCATACTTTTAGGGCCAGACTGAACTGTTAAAGAGTTGCTTCCTGCTTGACATAGGCCATGAAAGAATACTGAGGAAATGTCAAGGCCAAACCTTGCCATTAAGCTGTAACATCCATTTTGGAAAGTTAATTCTGTTGATTCAAAGGTTTCAGATCATAGCCGCTGACTACTTTTCATTGTAGCTTTTCTCATCTTCATTTCAACGGTTCTGGTTCCACTTGCTCTATTGGCAGAGTGAGCTCTTTGACACAGTTACTCTTTAGACAGAAGAATTTTCTTTCTCTTCACCCTCTCCCCCTTTCTGCCCAGGATCCAAGATGAATGTGGGTTATGAGCCCTAATAGGTTTCTAGTAGAAAGTGAAATGAGCAACCGAAACCAATTGTTTTTTGCCCAGCCCATTAGGTAACAGTGCAAGTCACCCAGTGTACCTGTCAGGGAAAGGGGAGCCCCTTTATGTCCCTATGTATGTAATGCCATCTCTGCTCCCAGGCACTAATCTGTATGCTGATTACTGCTAATTCATACCTATAAATTCAGTTTACTTTTAGTAAGATTTCACTTTTTTTGTGACAACCTGTTCTGCCTCTCCAGCTAGAGACAGTATTTCTTCTTTTGCCTGTTCTCAATGATGGGCAGGCTGTACTAATGGTAGAGCCAGTCACTTTTTTATTTTAAGAGGGAATACCCCAAAGTTATGCAAACATCACAATGAAGTTGAAGAATGTGCATATAAAATCACATGAGATGAATATCTGTTCTTTCTACTGAGATTCTTCCCATAGATACTTAAGTCTTAACCATACAGCAGTCTGTAAGTAAGTCAGCTGTT